TAGATGGATGGATAGACGGATAGACAGATGGATAGATAGATAGATAGATAGATAGATAGATAGATAGATACATAGATAGATAGATAGATGATAGATGGATGGATGGATAGATAGACAGACAGACGATAGATGAATAAATGCTAAATAGGTAGGTAGGTAGGTAGGTAGGTAGGTAGGTAGGTAGATAGATAGATAGATAGATAGATAGATAGATAGATAGATACATAGATAGATAGATAGATGATAGATGGATGGATGGATAGATAGACAGACAGACGATAGATGAATAAATGCTAAATAGGTAGGTAGGTAGGTAGGTAGGTAGGTAGGTAGGTAGATAGATAGATAGATAGATAGATAGATAGATAGATAGGTGGATGGATGGATGGATAGATGATAGGTGGATAGATAGAAGATAGATGAATAGATGCTAAATAGGTAGGTAGGTAGGTAGGTAGGTAGGTAGATAGATAGACAGACAGACAGAAGATAAATAAATAATAAATAAATATATCCATCCATCCCTGGGCTGTGGTTTCACCCCTTCTTACCTCCCCCTAAAGAAAAGGCCATTCAGAGCAACTGACCAGAGCAGTTGGTTTTGTTTCATTCGGTGTAGCAACTTATGGGACCCTCACAGGGGAACATAGGACAACCCCTCCCCTCCTTTCCCCTGAATTGTTGGAGGTAAAGAACAAAATGAACACAACGGTGAAGAAAGTAAAATGGCCGCTGAAGAGCAGGTGTGTTGCTGCCATTTCAAAGTGCGTGGAAATCACGGAGGCTTTGAAGTTTTCAGACTCTTTAAGCACAAAGCGACATCCAGTTCCGGTACATTGCTTCTCACGGCTTCGTCAGTCTCATTTTTCTCAGCCGTATTTCCAGCTTGTATTTTCTCTGAACTCGTGTATTGATTTCCGCCACCTGAGCATCCAATAATGACTAGCAGGAACCAGCCGGCGGATGTGAGCATATCGAGCGCATTGATTGGTGCAAATGGCATTATTTGGCCCTGGGGAGCTGGGACTGGATCGTGCTGGGACACAGCCCCCCACCCCCACCCCATTCCTCTGCAGGAAGCCAACTTAAGTGGCAAATCTTACACTCTACAGCATTCTGGCTGGCTGGGGAAATCTGGGAGTTGAAGTCCACAAGTCTTAAAGTTCCCAAGTTTGGACCCCCTGCCCTTTAGGCATCGTAGATAGAAAGTGGTCTGAAATTTGGTGCTTAAGATGAAGCTTTTTCAACCCTCTCAAAACACAGGTAGTCCTTGACTTATGACCACATTTCGGGCAAGTGGCTCCCATTTACCACAGAGTCCTGCAATGATCCAGCCATGATTTGAGATGCTTTTTGTCATTTTGTCATAGCAGAAAATGGCAAAAAACACCCATCAGGCCATGCTGGATTCACTTAAGGACCAAGTGCTTCATTCAACAACCATGTGATTCCCTTACCAACCATAGTGACTTGTTTTACAACAATGTATGGACGATAATCAAACTTAGTCTCGTCACATGAAAACTCGAATTCTGACAATACTTTACGACTGAAATTCTGGGTTTGTTGTGGTCGTAAGTTAACAACTACTTTTATCCCCCGGTTTTCAAGCCAGGGAAATGCAGCAACATTGGTGGACCACTCCCCAGGTGATTTGCAAGGGAGTGGGAGGGATGTCAGGCCCTTTGGGGTAGACCCAAAGGTGCTTTTTTCAAGAGGCAACTGGACTCTGGTTTTTCTTTGAAGATGTTTCGCTCCTCATCCAAGAAGCTTCTTCAGCTCTGACTGGATAGTGGGGAATGGAAGGATTGATACTCCTTGCAGACAGCTGGACATTTGCATTCTTTTAGCAGGTCATTAAGGTCACCTAGATGTTTATCTGTGTCCCGAGTGGTGCAAATGGATGTGGAGCCTTCTTGGAACTGCTAAAAGGACTGTGCTGTAGACTGGAGATAGATGATGTCCTTTCCATCCCTCTCCATTGAGAGAAGGTTGTTCAATTTGGACATAGATGGCCTCTTTGATTCCTCTTTCACACCAACGATCCTCTCTTTCCAAAATGTGGACTTTGCTGTCTTCAAAAGAGAGCCCTGTGTCTTTCAAATGCAGAAGGACTGCTGAATCTAGTCCTGATGGGTTTGTTCTCCTATGTTGTGCCATGCGTTTATGAAGTGGTGGTTTTGTTTCCCCAATGTACAGATCTGCACGTATTTCACTGCATTGTACTGCATATACCACGTTGCTCAGCTTGCGCCTGGGTGTTTTATCCTTTGGGTGGAAAAATCCTTCCATTCCCCACCAGTCAGAGCTGTAGAAGCTTCTTGGATGAGAAGCAAAAGGTCTTCAAAGAAAAACCAGAAAGTCCAATTGCCTCTTGGGAAAAAAAAGAGGGGGAAAAAGCACCTTTGGGACAACCTGGATGACTGAGAATCTCCACAGAGTTTTAGGAGAGAGTTCCGGTTCTGTAGTCTCAGGTGCAATCTTGATTTTCCTGACATTTCTATCTCTACAAGCCCTGCTCGCAATTTTTAGCAAAACATTCCTAGTGACAAAAATCTGGCTGTGTTGAGGACGAGCTCGAAGGAAAGATAAATCACCTACCTCTGTGCATGATCTTATGCTTTTCTCTCAAATACGTTAGGCCTTTTATAACCTGTGAATCAAAAGAAGGCGCTCATTGCAACAAGCAAACAGTGACCAGCATGTCACTGGATAAACATTGAAGGAATGTAACCGTATTCCTCCTTAATAGAATATTCCAGTTTGATGCAGGCACACCCAGGTACCTGTTATCATTTTCTCCAAGCCCAATATATATTTTTTATAAAGAAAAATTGTTTGCAGCTCAACCAAGCACAGGAACATTTTCCATGGGGCAGGTTAATGTTTCTCAGTTTTGCCAACTTTAAGATGCACGGATGTTGACTCCCAGAATTCCCTAGCCAGCAGTACTAGCTGGGGAATTCTGGGAGTCGAAGTCCACGTATCTTAAAGGTGACAAGGTGGAGGGACATTGAGGCAGGTCATCTTACGTTGTCTTAAAACTTTAGGAAAATTGGGAAGCTATTTTTTTTTTGTTTCAGCCGATTATGACAGATGGAAAGCAGAAAGAGAGACGCACATAGAGAGAATGTCTTTTCCACTTGTCTTTTTTTCTGCTTTTTCTCTCTATGTGACCCCAATCCATATTGTGTGCCAAGGAATGGAGAGCTGTTGTTAAACACCATCAGGTTTAACTTCTGGCAATCACACCCACAAATGTTCACCCATCTGGATGGGTCTTTCGTAATAATTCACACTCTTCCAAAGGCAAGTGAGTCATTTCTTTGCAAGAGCAAATGTGTTCCTGGGGATGGAGGCATAAAACAGAGGCTACTACATGATTTACAATCCTTGGAGGGGAGGAAACATCCCTGATTTTGCCCCTTGCAGAGTCAGCCTTATTTGAGGCCTTCATTTTGAAAGGAAAAGAAAGACAGAAGAAAAAAGAAGAAGAAAGGATGAAGAGAGGAGGAGGAAAAAGAGGAGGAGGGGAAAGGAATAAGAAGAGAGGAGGAGGAAGGAGGAAGAAAGAGAGGAGGAAGAAAAGGAAGGAAGAAGAGATGAGGATGGAAAAAGGACGAAAGGAAGAAGAGGAGGAAGAAAGGGACAAAGAGGAAAGAAATAGAAGGAAGGATGAAGAAGAACAAAGAAGAAGGGAGGAGGAAAAGGAAAGAATAAGAAGAGGTGGAAAAGGAAGGAAGAGAGGATGAAGGGAGGAAGAGGAAGGAAAAAGGAAGAAATAAGGAGGCAGGGAGAAGGAGGAATGAGGAGAGAGGGAGAAAAGAATGAGTGAGGACAAAGAAGAAGGAAGGGAGGAGGAGGAAAAGGAAAGAAAGAAGGAGAGAGGAGGAGGAGGAAGGAAGAAGGAGGAGGAAGAAGAAGGGGAGGAGGAGGAAGAAAGAAGGGAGGAAGAGGAAGAATTTCATGTCTCGTTGCTTTAAAGATGTTCTCAGCACTCTCTCCCTTCTGGGCCTCTACCCAGAGTGACACCAACCATGTTGGCATCTGCCTTTTCACATGCCCAAATTACATACTTACCGCAATGCTGACTTTGCCGAGAATCTTCTCGGGAATTCTGCCAGCCTTCTTCAAGACTTGATCCAAGGATCCGCCATCCTATTAAGAAATGTTCAAGCAGAGAGAGAGCGCCTTTAATTGTGTTCATTGTCAAAGTGTTGAGGACACAGCAAAAGAAACCCAAGGAAATGTAAATTTGGCAACTGGCTGATGAAACTCAACCTAAAAATAAAGATGTTTTCAGCATGGAATAATCCTGCATGGCTGGAGGAATAATGCTGAACCAAATCTCTACAACTCAACTCTTCCCAAACTGACCCTTCCTTTGGTAATATCAAGGCTTTAGTCCTCAAGTCTCCCAACTAAAACTCAGGATACAAACACATTCCAATACTTGAGAGATTGCCAAGGGAACAGGTGCAGAACAGATGTTACCTTTCTCCTCTCATCACACAAACTGCACAAACTTCATCCTTCCCTCTCTTCATCTCTTGATGGTTCTTTCCCCAAGAGTCTCTATTTTCTGTGAAGTCAAAACTAAATTTCCACCTCAAAAGGAATATTAGCAACCCAACAGGGGAAGATGAGTTAAAAGCTCTGCTTGGCCACGAAAAAACCTCTGTAGCAAACATGGCTAAAAAAAAACCAGGAATCAAAAGCTATTTTTTGTTGAATTATTTTTTGCAGAGCCCCAAAGCAATTTCTTCCCCACATAGAGAACTCTTCCACCTCTCATCAAGAATCAGGTGAGGAGGGGCACAACTGACCCCCGAGCACAGAAACAGAGCTCTAACATGTGTGTGTCGGGCTCCATCTGGTCAGACCAAGGCTGACAGATGTCCAAAATAAAGTGAGATTTTTGTTTCTATGAGCAGGAATGGCAAACATTTTTTTAAAAAATGAACAGGAAGGTAGGCGTAGAAGGGAACAAGAAATATTGCCTGCAATGAAATAGAGACAAACTCAGTTCCCCAATTCTTTAGTTCAGTGTTTCTCAACCTTAGCAACTTTAAGATATGTGGATTTCAATCCCCAGAGTTTATGTTGACATCCACATTTTAAAGTTGCTAAGGTTGAGAAACACTGAGGTCTCTAACCGTAGTAGCATGGCTGGCTGGGGAATTTTGGGAGCTGAAGTCCATGAATCTTAAAGTTCCTAAGGTTGAGAAACATTGAAGTCATCGTACATAATTTCTAGGAAGTCAATTTGGGCAGAAGACAATCCCAGCACCAGTGGGATGGTAAATTGATGAATCTTCCAGAATAGGAAGTGAAATGTTTTCTTTTCCTCAAAAAATCCGCCCAGTTGCCTTTTCAAAATTAAAAATCACTTTTGATGCTATATCAAGAGTAATAATTCATGAAATGTGTGTACTGAAATTCTGGATAGTTCACAAATCGTTAAAAACTTTTAAAAGAGACAATGCAGCAAATACAAAAACAAAAGGAAAAAAAATGGCAGAGAGAAGAAACCCAGTTGGGAGTAAAAGAGAAAAAGGTCCAAAGTTGGGGCGTTTAAATCTCAGGGCAACCTCAGTCCAGAGAGCGGATGCTGCTATAGAGAGGGGCCATTTTGGGGTCTGGATAGATGGCCTTGTTTGAGCCCTGGGTCAGTGCAGGACATGGGAGGCAAGCAAGCTCAGCCAATGGCTGCTTACTGTGTTGTGAGCGAAAGCAGAATTTCTGGCTGGCAAAGCCCCCAACAGATGGTCTCCAGTGACTCAAACCCTTCAAAAGAGCAACTAGGCCAGCAAAGCTGCATTGGGTAGCATGTGTTAATCAAACAAAATGAGCCTTAATCCTAATTCTCAAGGTCAGAAACCATTTTTTTAAAGATTTGTTTTTTAGTGTTTCGTCTCAACCTGCCTTTCATTGGCTTTCCCAATGCAATGAGATGAACAACTCTGTCCTTAGGCAACTAGATTAGGGTGGCTTCTGTCTGGAGGGCCAGCATCACAATTATGATGTTATTTTTGTGTTTAGTTGGTATCCATAGTTGGGTTTTTTTTTGTGTGTGGCATTTTTGTTCATTTGATTATTATACATTGCCCAGAGTTGCATTGCTGAAGCTGGTAGCCATAGGAAGGCTTTAAATCAGGAAGGGAGGGAGGGAGGAAGAAAGGAAGGAAGGAAAATAGAAGGATGGCTGAACAGAGGGACGGAGGAAAACAGAACGTTGGCTGAGGAAGGAAGGAAAATAGAGGGATCGATGACTTGCTGAGGAAGGAAGGAAAATAGAGGGATGGCTGAGGAAGGAAAATAGAGAGATGGATTAATGGATGAGGAAGGAAGGAAGGAAGGAAGGAAAATAGAAGGATGGTTCAACAGAGGAATAGAGGAAAATAAAAGGATGGATGAGGAAGGAAGGAAGGAAGATAGAAGGATGGATGAGGAAGGAAAATAGAGGGATTGATGAATGGATGAGGAAAGAAGGAAAATAGAGGGATGGATAGATGGAGAGGAAGGAGGGAGGGAGGAAAAAATAGAAGGATAGATGGATGGATGGATGGATGGATGGATGGAAGGAAGAAAGGAAGGAAGGAAGGAAGGAAGGAAGGAAGGAAGGAAGGAACTTCTGGCTCTGCTCCTCCAACCAACCTCCCCTAGCCCTTGATGACTCAAGCACCACAGGGCCCCAAGCAGTTCCCCCCGCAAGCAAAGAGGGTCACTTACCATGTGCTCCATGCAGATACTGATCTCGCCGTCACTGTAAAAGGCCCCGTAAAACCCCACAATGTAGGGGGAGTTGCATTCGTGCAGGACTTGGAGCTCCCGAATGATCTGGTTGCGAATTGCCGGCTTGATCTCCAGATGAATCAACTGCCAAAAGAAGCAGTCACTGTGGGTTGCCCCTCGGTTCCTTCCAGGACTTCCAAGCCCAGCCCACCCTGCTGCCCGCAGAGGACTCAGGGGGGGGGGGCTCTGATCTGAAACCCCTTCTGATCTTTACTGCTCTGTGCCCACAAGCCACCCCTCAAAGGTGCCTGTGCCATCCTTCATTTACCAAGGAAGGAGGCATTTCATCGTTCCTTGCCTGCCTAAGAGGGGAAGGCAAAATTCTAAGACTGAATATTGGCAGTCCTCGAGTTATGACCACAATTGTCACCGGAATTACAGTCACCAAAAACGCAATCATCGTGCAAGTCATTGTCTGACCAGATCCAATTTTATGATTTAATTTTTCCCCAAGTTCATTAACCAATTCAGGTGGCTGTTAAATGAATCACCTGCTCATCAAGCAAATCCATCTTTCCCAGTTGGCTTTGTTTGTCAGAAGTCATCTGGGAAGGTCCCCAAATCACGGTCATATGGAGACAAAAGACATCGCAACCCTCAAGGCTGTACATTGGGTTGCAAGTACGTGAATTGCCATCGCGTGACTATGGGGTAGTACAACAGAACTTCTGGGGCAGGTTGTAAGTCACTTTGAAGGCTGATGTAACTTTGAACCATCCTTCAACGAAGAGTGGTAAATCAAGGACTACCTGTGCCCCATTTGAATCTCTCTCTATCTGAGCTCATGATGGAAGAAAAAGAAAGAGTTTGATACAGCAACAAGCTAGCAGGTGACTCATTTGTTAATTATGTCCTTAAAAGAGTTTCTGAAGGACACGAGCTTGACGAAAGCGAGCAGGCTCAGAGAGTGACTGGACCAAGAACATGATTTTCCGCAGGTGAAGGCAGACTCCAGCCCAGCACTTCCAGGCCTCTGCTTTCACTTTTAAGCATTTTTAAAGGTAAAACAGGTGAGCAGAGAAGCTGGCTGGTTGTTGTGGTCCGCGGACTGCCAGCAGAGCTAGCAGGGGAGTCAGAGGAGGTCGAGGGAAGGCCCGGGCCAGCTTCAGAGCCTTTGGAAGGCCTTTGATGAAGCAGAGTCAGAGGCAGGTGGAGAGGCAGCTGTCTTCAGGGCCAGAGCTAAATGATGGGGAGGAACAGATGGGGCCCATCTCAGATGCATGTATGCATGAAGAGGAGAGGAGAACCACGGAAAGCAATAAGCCGGCTGTCGGGGGAAAAGAAGTCGTAGATGCTAACCAGCCCTTTCCTGGCTAGGAAATAAACAGTAGGGGTTTGGGAGTGGCCTGTCGTTGCATTGCAGGCAACTGTTCATTTGCATGTGTGCATCCATCAAGTCGGATTCCTTTGCCAGAACCAGGTTTGTCTGGACTAATTGCTCTGTATTTGAGCTGCTGACAGACTCCCCTGCTGGGAAACAATAGGGAGTGAATTTGCCTCAGCCGGGCATGAACAGGGGCTGTTTCTGTTTGGCTTAATCATTGCAAGGGCTTTTTATCCTGAGTTCTCATGTCAGGCCTGCAGCCATGTTTTCTGTTGGATCTTTGGCCTGCCACACTTTCTATTATTCTGCTAGGCATTTTCTATTGTGGGAAAATGGGAGGGATTGTATGGAGTTAGATGTGATGTAGCCATAACAAAATTCTTTCCAGAAAGCCAAGGTCATCCTTTGTCTTTGCACCTCTGCATCTGACCAGAAAAGGATGGGTGGAACTGCCAGCATGGCAGTGGAAGGTTGGACCATGTGATGGACTTGTGGGTGTGGGGGCAAGATCTTGGACTTTCAACTGGGTGGGAAAAACCAGGAAGTTTTCAGATTCCGGTTTTCCCAGATGTGCCAACATGGCTTTCTCAATAAATTGGAACTTTGAGCAATACTTTGCCTTGGACTCTGATTTACTTTTGAGTGCTATTTGGAACCCTGACAATGGCTCCTGCTCTGTTTTAAAAAGGGGGTTGTTTTACGTGAGTAAGTGATTTCTCATTGCATGCAAAGGCTGGGACAGAACACGGGTAATTGGAGGTACATCAATGCTCAGGAGGTCAAATTGTCCACCTCCAATTAATGGCTTCTACAAAAGGCAGCTGATTGAATAAACCATGGTCAGAAATGGCTTAGCAAGACATGCAAACTTTGCCAGTCACGAAACTCACCTTCCTGGCCATGATGAGTCCAGAAGGCTTGTGTGAGACTTTGAAGACCACGCCACCATTGCCTGCACCCAGTTCGCTGATCTTCTCGAAGTCATCGTCCTTCAGTTCTCCTACTTTTTGCTTCTGGGTTAAAAAGGCCTCCAGCCGTTTCCGCTGCTGCTCATCCAGTTCCAACTCCTCCAATTTTTTCTGCAGGGCTTCCAAATTAGTCCTGTGGGACCCAGGTGAGAGAAGGGAGAAACTCCTATTATTAAAGACACAGGAGCAGAGAACTCTGGGCATGCTCTTTTCTCTCAAGGTACAGAAAACTTGCTCGTAAGAAAGAAAAGTTTTGATGCAGGTTAGAGCAAAGCTGCCTTGTTGTTTCTCCTGTCACCCACTACCCTGACCAATTGTTATGGTGTTTGTGTCTTGCCTTTTGTCTGCAAGCTCCCCTGTAAGAGGAGGAGCGGCAGAATCTGGGGGTGGAGTCAAGAGAGGAATCAGCTTAGAATCCCAACCTAGCCACAAGCGAGCCAAGTCCAAGTCCTCTTGAATTCTGTGGACCCTTGTCTAACTCCAAGCAGGTGCAAACCATGAGTTGAGATGATTCTTGTGCATAGGGTGTTTAGCAATAAATCAGTCTAACTTAGGTATGATCTTTTAGGTAGATATGATCTTTTTCTCTTGACATCACCTTACAAAGAGCTCCCTCCTAGTTTTATCACCCAACCACCCTGTGGGTAAATTGGGGCACAAGACAGCATGGCCCCTAGGCATCCCAGGTTGGTTGGTTGATTGGTTTTGTATGCCGCCCACTCCAGAAGGACTCCGGGCGGCTCACAATAAACAGGGGAGGGAATAAATAAGACAATACAAACAATTTTAAAATCCACAACAGTCACAATTAAGACGGGGCTGGATGCTTTAACAGCCTGCCGGATCAGCCAGGACTTAGTAGCTTTACAGAAGGCCGGGAGGGTAGTAAGGGAGCTCTACAGGGAGCTCTACAGCCTACTAAAGAGCAGGTGGAAGCCGCAAGATCTTCAGCTCCCACAATGCACCTCCTGAGGTTTGGTTGGGAAGGGAAGGACCAATTCCACTTTCTATGAAATGGATTATTAGTGACTGGCAGCCATCTTGTGAGAGTGCTCCACCTCTGTTCTCAACGTTCCAGATATGTCCCTATCCACACACGTGTATTTTTCCTGCCTCTGTTCCTCCCTGTTGCACAGATGGAACACCTTAATGCCGGGGTCTTCAACCTTAGCCGCTTCGAAGACTAGTGGACTTCAATTCCCAGAATTCCTCAGCCAGCAAAGCTGGAATTCTGGGAATTGAAGTGGCCAAGGTTGGAGACCTCTGCCTTAATGGGACGCCCATCCAGCAGAAATAATAGCAACCACACAAGCATCACTAATTAACTTTCAAACCGAAGAAAAACGTTTCCCATCCTCTGGCGTTCATTGATTCAACACAGCTGTCTTGTTCCCGATGAGCAATCATTTCCCCTACAGAAAATATTCTCAGATTCCATTTGCCACAAACAGATAGTACTTTCCATTCTGCTGAAATGTTTTAGGCACTCAAGGGAACCACATCTGCAAGCCGTTACGCAACCACTCACACTTCGCATGGATGCACCTCACTTGTTCATCATTTCTCACAAGGAAAATACAGTAAACAGGTTTAAAAGAAGACGACCGGAGATGCTATGCCTCTTGTTCTAAAGGTCCATCATCTCTTAGACCAGGGGTCTCCAACCTTGGCAACTTTAAGCCTAGTGGATTTCAACTCCAAGTTGAAGCCCGCCAGGCTTAAAGTTGCCAAGGTTGGAAACCCCTGTCTTAGATACCCCCTCCCCAAATGTTACAAGGTATGATGATTTCATTTCCCAGAATTCCATGCTGGCTGGGGAATTCTGGGAGTTGAAGTCCACACATCTTAAAGTTGCTAAACACTGTCTTGGGCTTCTTTCAAGGTTCCTGCAGATGGTTCTTGGAGGTTATTTTTAAGCTGAGAGGTGTAAAAGCCATTCTGTTCTTCTCTTGCAGCAGATCCTGTCAGCTGCTAGTGTATTTTGGGGTCTTCAGCTAAGCACGTTTAAGGAGTTCAGGAAAGCCAGCGGCCACTTTTGAACCTTGCTAACCAAAAGACAAAGAAATGAGCTGACGCCAACTGTTAAGCCTAACACTTTCCGCCTTGAATTTTGGCAGATGTTGCAAGATTAGGCTTGACCAGTTCTCACCATTAAGCAAGACTCCAGCAGATGAAAAAGGGCTTATGAGAAATCCAGCAGGAAAATCAGCAACAATTTGCAAACTCAAGCGCTGCACAGCAACAGATTTGTGGACCAGTAATTTTTAAAACAGCAGGAAATCACTTTTCACGCTCACAACGAAATGGGTTTTGTTTAGAACACAGCTACGGAACATTGCAATTTTCACAGAATGGATGGTTTAAACCACAGGTCTTCAAACGTGGCAACTTTAAGACTTGTGGACTTCAACTCCCAGAATTCTCCAGCCAGCATAGCTTCAACTCCCATAGCTGCCTGGAGAATTCTAGGAGTTGAAGTCCACAAGCCTTGAAAGTTGTCAAGTTTGAAGACCTCTGGTTTAAATTCTCCTTTGGTGGGAGGAGGGAGGAAGCAGAGGGCAATTTCCAAGCACTAGCTGAAAATAAAAAGCTGTTAAAAGAAATAAAAAACCCAAACAGCTGTCTTTGCCTACCCCTTGTCTTTAGGTTGACAATCTCAAACCAAAATGTGAATAAGCTATCATTAGGAGCAGCACAGATCTCGCATTAGTAAGCCACAGTAAATTTTCAACTGTCATTGCAATTGGATTATGTGCTTCCTGCTCCGGGAAAGATTCTTTTCCCTTAGCAGAGTGGAAGACAGCTCGTGTTTCAAAAGGACATCCGCTGGCAATGTGCTCCTTTCCCAGCTAACTGCTTGAGTTGAACACCCCAAAACCTGGGGATTTATCCTGTGAAATTCATGGAATTCCATTCATTCCAATTCCAATTCATGGAAGTCCAGGTTTACTCATATGCTAGACTTCACCACAATCTGAGATACACAAAATCACTATACAATGGCAAAGTCTACACATACATCAAGCTTAGAACACAGAATCACAGGATTTGAAGAGACCTCAGGGGTCTTCTAGTCCAACCCCCTGTTCAAGGCAGGAGACTATACTATAAAAAAGATGTTGAGACTCTAGAAAGAGTACAGAGAAGAGCAACCAGGATGACTGGAAGCTAAAACATATGAAGAACGGTTACAGGAACTGGGCATGGTTAGTCTAGTGAAGAGAAGGATCAGGAGAGACAGGATAGCAGTCTCCCAACATTGGAGGGGCTGCCCCGGGGGGGGGGGGGGGGGGGG